AGGACGAGCTCTCTATAGAGGGCCTCGAGATCCTCATAGCATGATTCGCCCATTCACCTGCTTCCCTTCCCCGCCATCTCCCCTCCCCCAACCCCCTCTTCTCCCCCTCCCCCCTCCCCCGCCCCCGCCTTCCCACCCTGAGCAGGACAAGCTCTCTATAGAGGACCTCGAGATTCTCGTCGCGTATTTCGCTCAACAGGGGCGCGACATGTGGCAGGCCCTCGAGGTCTACGATTGGATGGTTCGCGGAAACCGCGTGGAGCGCCAGACGCGGCGCCTCATCCACGTCATCATGGACCAGCGCCTCGGGCAGCTGCTACAGGAGGGCTGCCCGACGGAGAAAGTTTTGCGGCTGGTGGGCAGGATGGTGGATCTCGGGCTGCCCCCGGATTTTCCGCTGAAAAGAATGCTCGGGGAGGAGCTGTGGGACCGGGGGGCGGTGGTGGAAGTTGTGAAGCTTCTGAGAATGTTCCTGAGCGAGGAGGAAAGTGCATGGAAGGAGCAGGGGGTGGTCGCTGGAGTGAGGATCGTAGCTTTGGAAGAGGGGGAGGAGGAAGAGAGGGAGGAGGAGGAGGAGGAAGAAGAGTGGGAGGACAGTGCGACGGAGAGTGTGTGGGGTGGGTCGAGTGAGAGTGAGGATGAGGCGGAGATTGTTGGCGAGGAGGGAAATGGGGAGGTGAGGCGACATGACTGCGCAACTCAAGGTAATAAGGGTTGCTGCTTCCCCCCCCGGCCCCTTCACTCACCTCTGTCCCCCTCCATCGCCCTCCCGCTTGCTCTCCTGCCGTCGCTCCCATTCCCACTCTCCCGTGTCTCTCCCATGTCTCTCCCATGTCTCTCCCGTGTCTCTCCCATGCCTCTCCCATGTCTCTCCCGTGTCTCTCCCGTGTCTCTCTCTCCGTTGTCTCTCCCGTCCTCTCCTCCTGCTGCTTTCCGCACCCCATAGGCTGAGTTAGTTTTTTTAGAATTCTAAAAAAACTAACGCACCTTAAAACGGGGATGCCGTTGCCCTGGTCCATACTCCATAGCCTCTTCATGCTCTGAAGCCCTCCTTCTCCCATCCATGCATGGTTGCGGCATGCAGAGTCCGTATGCACGCATGGTCCGTATGCATGCATGGTTGGTATGCACGCATGGTCCGGATGCACATTCCTTAATCTGAACGTCAATTGCATCCGAGCCTCCCTCGGTTTCCCCCGCCCTCGTTCTCATCTCAGTCTCGCAGCAGCTTGTGAACGCACCCTCGAGCCCCTCGAGCCCACCCTCGAGCCCCTCGAGCCCCTCGAGCCCCTCGAGCCCCTCGAGCCCCTCGAGCGCCAAGCTGGAGATTCAGGAGCGGCTGAAGCTGCAGCTGCTGGTCAGAGCGAACAGCAGTGGGACGACTGGCAGCAGCAGTCGCAGCAGCAGTGACAACAGCAGCGGCGGCAGCAGCCGCAAGGACGTTGCTTTACAGAGAATACCTGGGGGGGGACTGGAAGGGGGGGCAGAGGGAAGGAGGCGAGATGGTAGTTTGTCAGGAGGGGAAGGAAGTGGGGTTTCCACCCAGCAGCAGAGCAGACCAGGAGGCAGAGAAGTAAGCGCAGGGGGGACAAGTGAGGCGACAGCAAGCACAGGGGGTGCAAGTGAGTCGAGAGTAGGGCAGGGGCAGGGGCAAACCGCAGGCAGAGAGGCAAAGGCGGGCGAGTTGGAGTCAGAGACAGTGGGGGATGAGGCAGCAATGCTGGCAGCAGAGGAACGAGAGGACCTGGTAGGGTTACTGCTGCTGAGAGCCGTTACAGCCGGGCAGTACCGCCAGGTGCTAGCAGTGCCACGGATGCTGATGGAGGCTGGGGTGGAGGTGGGTGTGGCAGGGTACAGTGCGGTGCTGGTGGGTGCAGTGAAGGAGCGGGAGAGGCTGAGTGTGGCGAGGAGGGAGCTGAGGGACCTGCAGCAGTCAGGAGTGGTGGGGCAGCTGTCGATGGCTGACAGCCTGCTGCTAGAGGTGAGGAAAGGGAAGAGGGGTCTTGAGGAGTCGTGGCTGGTCGTAGCTTCTTGGTAGAGAGGTAAGCGAGGAGAGAGCTGAGGGGCCTGCAGCAGTCAGGGGTGGTGGTGGTGGGGCAATTGTCTGCTGCTGTCTGCATGCTTTTGGAGGTAATAAACGAATAAAAGGCCATAGCATCCCCCTCCTCTCCTCTCTCGCTCCGAATCCCCGCTGCCTCCCACTGCCCCTTTCCTGTGTCACACGTGTTTGCAGATTTATGGGGCAACGCTGCAGAACGAGGCAGCGCAAGCAGTGCAGTGGTGTGCTGACAAGTGTGAGGCCGACCTGCAGAGACTAAGAGAGGAAATCAGGGGGCGCGAGCAGCAGCGGGAGAAGCGGATATCAGAGCTTTTAGAGCCGGCCAGGGGGCGAGAGGGAGGGCGGGAAAAGAGATTCGCAGAGCTGGCAGGTGTGGGATGCAGAGGGGAGGAGGAGAGGGTACCACGGGACGAGGATGGGGAGGGGGCGGAAGAGGAGAGGTGTAGGTTGCTGGAGCCTGGTGCTTCGTTGTTGCTGCTGGACTTGCACCACAGTGGGAGACGAGAGGCGTTGGAGCGGGGCGGGTCAGTGGCGCAGAGGGAGGTAGTGCTAGGAGTGGAAAAGGAGCTTTCTGAGAATTCTCAAGAATCACCTAGCAGATGGGAAGCCCAAGCGATGCATAGCGAGAGGCAGCAAAGGGAGATGCAGAGACTAGAGAAAGAGAGGGAGAGGGATCGGCAGGTGCTGCTAGCAGGGGAGCTGGCATCAGCGCGGGCACAAGCGGATATGCAACTGAAACTGGTGGCGTTTTGGTTCAACGCTGGCAATGCGGAGAGGGCAGAGGAAGCATTGTGGGGGGTGGTGGAGCAGGGAGGGCGGATTCCCGTTGACCTGGCTTCGAGCGTGGCGGGGCTGTACTGCTACTGGGGCAACTATATGGCGCTCAATAGGTGAGAGATTGGGGGAATGCAGGGAGGGTGGGCGCATCACACGAGTGGACGCGTGTGCTGATGCTGGAAGTTTAGTTTCGAGACGTCTCAAAATTAAACTTCTATCACACGAGTGGACGCATGTGCTGGTGTGCTGCCCGCCACATGCATGTGCTGATGTGCTGCCCGCCACATGCATGTGCTGATGTGCTGCCCGCCACATGCATGTGCTGATGCAGGCCTGCTGCCACCCTTGTGTTGCCTTCCCTCCTCCTTCTGCCTCTCCTACCATCCGTTCCTCCTCACAGCCTCGTGTGTTGCTTGGAGGCGCGGCGCTCAATTGCCCGCTGGACGAGTGGGCGTATGCGCTCATGCTGGGCTGCTGCTCCCCTTGTCTTCAAACCCCCTGTTCCCCCATCCCTCTCCTCTTCTCTCCTCCCCTCGCTGCCCTCTCCCCCCCTCCTTTTGAGTCGACTCAAAAGCCCTCTCCCCCCCTCCCTGCTGCACTCATCAGCTTCGTGCGGCGCGTGGAGGCGCTCAACTGCCCGCTGGACGAGTGGGCGTATGCGCTCATGGTGGGGGGGTCCATGAAGGGCGGCCATCTGGACGTGGCTGCCTATGCAATGAAGGAGGTGAGAGGGGGGATTGACAACCGGGTGAATGTGGCATGAAGCAAGGGACATGGCCATGTGCCATCACATGACTTTGGAGGCGCCTCAAAAGGCTGCCTATGCCATGAGGGAGGTGAGAGAGGAGTGGGTGTGGCAACCGGGTGAATGTGGCATGAAGCAAGGGACATGGCCATGTGCCGTCACATGCTGCCATGTAGGGCGGGCATCTGGACGTGGCTGCCTATGTCATGAGGGAGGTGATAGGAATGAGTGATGTGCATGTGCAGTGAACCAGGTTGGATGGAAATATGCCATCAGATGCTGTCACGATGGGCGGGCATCTGGACGTGGCTGCCTATGCCATGAGGGAGGTGAGAAGCACTTGGCAGCATTTGCGTGGAACAGTGAATGCAGTGATAAGGTTTGCGTTTTCATCCTTGTCTATCCTCACCCCCCTCCCCCCTTTCCCCCATGCAGATGGTGCAGCGCGGCATGCACCCCAACGGCCACCAGCTGGCTCTCTTACTGAAGAGGTTGCAGAGGGGCGATGCAGGGGTGGACACGTATCTGGGGCTCTGCGCTGCTCTGGCTGACGTGGGGCTGGTGGAGCCCACCCTCGTGTACCTCTACGTTGACCTGCTGCGCCTCTGCATCATCCGCATGCTGTAGCAGTGTGAATGCTGCAGTGGCTGCAGGGTGGACGTTTACCTGGGACTCAGTGCTGCTGCTCTGGCTGACGTTGGGCTGGTGGAGCCCACCCTCGTGTTTCTCTACGTCGACCTGCTGCGCCTCTGCATCATCCGTATGCTGCAGCGGTGTGTCTTCGCTTCAACTCAGATGCAGGGGTGTGGGGGGGGGGGGTGCTAGGGCTGGTCGAGCCCACCCTCGTGTTTCTCTACATCGACCTGCTGCGCCTCTGTCATCCGCATGCCGTAGCAGTGTGAATGCCTTCACACTCATATCATCGCCCATACAAGTGTGGATGCATATCTGGGCCTCTGCGCTGCTCTCACTGCCGGCTGGTGGACGGAGGCCACCCTCGTGCACCTCCTCTGCGTTGACCTGCTGCTTCCGTGCATCATTTGGATTCTGTGAGTTGCATGCTACAGTGGCCGAGCCTTCACATATCCCCCGTCCACGGGGGTGCTACAGTGGCCTTCACATAGGTATCCCCCTTGCTGCAGGGTGGATGTATACCTGGGGCTCTGCGCTGCTGCCCTGTTGGCCTGGGGCTGGTGGAGCCCGCTTTCGCGCATCTCTGTGTCAACCTGCTGCGGATGTGCTTCATCCGCATGCTATAGTGCCCACTGCCCAGCCTTCGGGATGCTGTGTTGCCAGTTCGACGCCTTGGACACTGCATCATATTGTACACTTTCTTTCCTGCATGCCTTCGCTTCTTAGTAGCTGCGCAGTGCACAACCAACGGTATGCCACACATTGTGGCCCTTATATATTTCTGTTATCGTGTTGTTACTATCTCGAGTAGGCTATATGCACTCGTTCCTATATGACTGTGTATATCATGGTATACTTACGGTACAACTCGAAGTACTAACTGAAATCTCTGGTGAGTTATGACACCCGACCAGGATGAAATGTAAGAGTTATGCTCCTGGCTCCATTATAGAATCTTGAATCTTGGGTGGGTGGGTAGGGGGGGGGGGGACACAACCGTGCAAACTGGTGCTGAACGGAGCAGAAGAAGAACATGAGTGTAAACAGATTACAAGTGGCAACGTTTTGGGGCACTGCTCACTTTTAAAAGACTGCTCACTTTTGAAAGACTGCTCTAGCTGGGCTCTGGTTCCTCCCTCGAGGGCGAAACAGGAGGGACTGCAACACACTGCTCGAATACTCCCCTTCTACAGCATTGCCAACCAGCTCGGGCAAATATTTCCGCTGCTGCTGCTGGTGGTGATAGGCGCTCCTTTGCCATGGAGCACGGTCAGCAAACAGCTGCGGTAGGTATCTCTGCCTCTGCTGCTGCTGTTGATGGACACTGGAGCTTCCCTTCTGTTGGCGCTTCTCTTCCGCTGTAGAGAGTTGCGGCAGGTATTTCTGCTTCTCCTTCTGCCCCTGTGTTCCTGTCGCCTCCTCCTCCCCGGTCTCCTCTCCCCATGCCCCTCCTCCTTCCGCATCCTCTGCCTGCTTCTGAGGGACCACCTTGGGCCCCCGCTTGATTCGCACTGCTGCTACTCGCACCCGTGGCGTTCGTCCGTGCTGCCCCCTGCTATCCGCTGCTGGTGCGCCTGCTGCAGAGGCTGCTGCTGCTGCTGCTGCTGCCTCCCGCTTTCCTGCAGCAGACGCCCCATCCTCAGCCCACGAGGAATCCAGCCCAGTAGCACTTGCTGACGTGCTCTCTGAACCAATAGCAATGTCCCTCGCAACGTGCCTCCTCAGCAGCGTTCTGATGGCGTCAGCAGTGCGGCTGGCGCCCGTGCCATTCCCCGAGCCTCTCTCGTCAACCCTGCTGTTCCGTTCACTGCTCCTGTCAGTGGTGGTGTTGCCGCTTATGCTACTCTCCCTTACGGCACGACCCCTCATGCTGCTGCCCCATCTGGTGCTGCCTGCTGTGCTGCTTCCTGTGCGGTGGAGTAGCGACTGCAAGGCAGGGCCTGGGCCTGGTGAGAGGGGGTTGAGAGGGGGGTGAGAGGGGAGGTGGGAGGGGAGGTGGGAGGGGAGGTGAGAGGGGAGGTGAGAGGGGAGGTGGGAGGGGAGGTGAGAGGGGAGGTGAGAGGGGAGGTGGGAGGGGAGGTGAGAGGGGAGGTGGGAGGGGAGGTGAGAGGGGGGTGAGAAGGGAGGTGAGAGGGGAGGTGAGGGGAGGTGAGAGGGGAGGTGAGAGGGGAGGTGAGAGGGGAGGTGAAAGGGGAGGTGAGAGGGGAGATGAGAGGGGAGGTGAGAGGGGAGGTGAGAGGGGAGGTGAGAGGGGAGGTGAAAGGGGAGGTGAGAGGGGAGGTGAGAGGGGAGGTGAGAGGGGAGGTGAAAGGGGAGGTGAGAGGGGAGGTGAAAGGGGAGGTGAGAGGGGAGGTGAGAGGGGAGGTGAGAGGGGAGGTGAGAGGGGAGGTGAAAGGGGGGGTGAGAGGGGAGGTGAGAGGGGAGGTGAGAGGGGAGGTGAGAGGGGAGGTGAGAGGGCAAATGTGTATGATGAAATAAGCATGCATGAGGAACCAACAGAAGAACAAGAAGTGACAAATGAGGTGACAAATAAGAATGGCCAAATAAGAATGGCCAAATGACTTGCTCAGTGAGCGTGCGAACCCCTTTGCTATGACAGGATTTCTAGAATTCACAAAACTGCCCGTTATTGTGAATTGCAAAGACGACTTACTCAAAGAGCGTGCACGTGCAATGAGCTTGCGAACGCCCCTGCCTCGGTCAAACGAGTTCTGCCTCACCACCCCCAGGATCACCCCTTCGCTCTCCTCCCACTCCTCTGCTTCCCGCTCCCGCTCCTTCTCATCCTCCTCCCTTCCCTCCCTCCCCTCCTCCTCATTCGCCTCCTCTTCCGCCGCTGCTGCCCCCTGCCCCTTCTCCTTGCCTGTACCACCTTTTTCCTCTCCCTCCTGGTTCCTCCCCTCATGCTTCTCAGCATGTTTCTCCCGGCCTGCCTCATCCTGCTGCTGCTGCTGCTTCTCCTCCTGCTGCTGCTCCTGTTGTTGCTGCTGCTGCTGCTCCTGTTGCTGCTGCTGCTCTTCCACCCCACCTTGCTCATATGCTGCCAGATCAACCAGACCCTCCACCCCCTCTCTCTCCTGCTCTGCCCCGCCTTGCTCTCCTCTCTCGACCGCTCCCACCTCTTCTGCTGTCGTTGCCCCCACTGTTCCCTCCTCCACGCCTCCTTCGGCACCATCAGCAACTGCAGCAGCATCAGCACGAGCAGCAGCATCCGCCTCAACATCGGCATCAACGGCAGAACCATCAGCAGCAGCATCGGCATCAGCAGCAGCAGCATCAGCATCAGCAGCATCAGCAGCTTCGGCTTCTCCAGCATCCGTAACAGCAACATCGCCACCGTCCATCACAGTGGCATCGCCACCGTCCATCACAGCAGCATCGCCACCGTCCATCACAGCAGCATCGCCACCGTCCATCACAGCAGCAGTGACTGATTCAGGCACCGTGTGCGTCCATTCGTCTGGCGCCCCTGCAGGGCCACCGTCGCTCATCCTCGATACTAGCATCTTCAGTCGTTCGTTAGAAACATAAGGAGCGCTGTTCTCGTCCTCTCTTACTGCCAATCGTCCTGTCACATGCCGTTTCTCCTCGGCTGTCAAAGCCCGCAGCTGCTTCCCACTTTGTTCCAATAGAACCGTTACCCACCCCTCCGCCCTCACCAGACCTGGCGCCTCTCCTTCTGCCACGTGGCGTCCTCCGGAGTCATTCTGACGTGGCACGTTGCCGTCCACCCGTTTGAATGCACATCGATTTCGAATCGTATTAGTTACAGTGCCGCTTTTAGCCTTGTAATTGGGCCCTACACCACTACGGCCGCCACTGCTGCATATGCCGCTTTCCTCCTCACCCCTCCCCTCCGTATCTCCCCCCTCCGTATCTCCCTCCTCCGAATCTCCCACCTCCTTATCTCCCTCCTCCTTATCTCCCTCCTCCTTATCTCCCTCCTCCTTATCTCCCTCCTCCGTATCTCCCACCTTCGTATCTCCCTCCTCCTTATCTCCCTCCTCCGTATCTGCCTCCTCCGTATCTCCCATCTCCATATCTCCCTCCTCCATATCTCCCTCCTCCGTATCTCCCTCCTCCTTATCTCCCTCCTCCGTATCTCCCTCCTCCTTATCTCCCTCCTCCGTATCTCCCATCTCCATCCCCTCCCTATCTCCCTCCTCCTTATCTCCCTCCTCCGTATCTCCCTCCTCCTTATCTCCCTCCTCCGTATCTCCCTCCTCCTTATCTCCCTCCTCCGTATCTCCCATCTCCATATCTCCCTCCTCCATATCTCCCTCCTCCGTATCTCCCTCCTCCTTATCTCCCTCCTCCGTATCTCCCTCCTCCTTATCTCCCTCCTCCGTATCTCCCACCTCCTTATCTCCCTCCTCCGTATCTCCCATCTCCATATCTCCCTCCTCCTTATCTCCCTCCTCCGTATCTCCCACCTCCCTTGTCGTCACTACCTCAGGCGGCACTCCTTTCAGCGCGCTCACAGCGTCGCAGAAATGCACCGCAGGCTGAGATGCACTCACAGATGGACGGACACGATTCAACGTCACCCCTCCGTCCCTTCCTCCCGCTCCATCCGCGTGTACAATCACCACCGAAACCCCGCCCCGTGGGGAGCCTCCGCTCTCTCTCGCGTGCCTTGCGGAGTCTACGCTCGGCGTTCCGCGGTTGCTGGCCCCGCCGCGGGGGGAGGGGCGGGAAGCGCCAGCGTGGCGCAAATCGCCGCCTTGAGGGGCACTATTGCCCCCGCGGGGAGAATTCTCCCGGACGGCCGGCTTGCGCCAGGGGCCCTGGTCCCCGCAGCGGGGATTTTCGCTTCCCCCGGCAGGAGTGTTGGGCTGGCGGAAGGAATGCCGCGGCCGCGCAACGGAGGGCGGGAGCGGGAGGGGGGAGGAGTGGCGGGGGAAGCGCGCGCGTTTACCTGAAAGCGCGTAGTAGGACAGGGGGGGCGGTACTCGCCCGCTTTCGCCCGCTCCGGTGCCAATGTCGCTTTTGCGGTTACCAGCTCCGTTTTCGCCAAAACCACTTCCGCTTTCGCCACCGTCGGCACAGGTATAGAAACAGTCGCTCAGGTAGCGTTCAACCCACTCGTTCCGAGAAGCTTCCTCCTGATGCCTCAACACCTCCCTATGTCGAACACGCGATCCAATCTCAGAGCGTCTCTGATTGGTCGCTGTCATGCGCGCTTTCCGCTCCCTATCGCTGACGCCAATGTACCCGTTATAGCCGTCCCCGTCAAGCCCACGGTGGGTCGCCCTCAGTTGATTTATAACCATTCGTACTTCCTCGCAGATACAGCGCTGCGCGTCGCCGCGGCCGTCACGGTCACGGCTAGTCAGACGGTCCGACTCTCGAGCGCGAGCGGCGAGCGGCGAGCGGCTAGTGAGACGGTCCGGCTCTCGAGCGCCCGCGCCCGCGCCAGCGCGAGAGCGACCGCGAAAGGGAGCGCGAGCGGCGCCGGCGCGAGCGGCGGGATGCGTTCGACCTGTCCCCGCGGTTTCATCGCTGCGTCGGCCACGGCACGTCAGACGGTCTGGCTCTTGATCGCAAGCGCGACTGGCGGGATGCGGTCGCCCTGTCCCCGCGGTTTCGTCGCTCCGTCGGTCACGGCAGCGGGCATTGCACTGGTGTTGAGGTGACTCTTGAGTCGATTTAAAAGTCGCGTCATCGCGTCGTTCGTCACGGCAGCGGGCATTGCATCGGTGTTGCACGGCTGCTATAGCGAGGAGCTTTCGAAGCTGCTGAATCGAATCCGCCGAGGCGTGTACTAACGGGGATAAGGGAGCGCGGGAGGGAGAGGAGGAGGAAGAGGAGGAGGAGCTGACCTGAGGGGAGGGGGTGAGCGCAGGGGAGAGGGTATCATGCGAATCGCAGCCGTCGTCGGAATCGCACGAACCGTCGCTGAATTCGCTTGTGCGACATTCTGAATCTGGAGTGGTTACACGATTGCGATCGCTGAAAATGTTGCTGGGACGACGTGATGGGTCACATATGTCTGTCGCCTCGTGTCGTTCAGCGAGCTGCCATGCGACGCCATGCAAAAATGCAGCACGCGACGCCATCTGGTGGTAATCGTGCGCAAACAACGCGGCCTATAAGGTAAATCACAACCGGAACCTAGTCACTAGCAAACCTCTCTAGCCACAGGAATCATGAGCTATTCCAAATGCGGCAATGCTAGTTAGTTTAGTCCTGTCGTCCTCCATGCCACACGAAGCTGCTGACAAGAAGCCTCGAAGGACAGCGGATAGCAGTCAGAATGAGCCTAGTTGAGTTGATCCGAGAGGGGAGCTACTCTCAGATTGCCTTCAGAAGGTTGGACGACAACCGAAGTCTGGACTAGAGAGGAACTTTTCGTTTTTCACAGGATAACAGTCTGAATATCGGGCATACTCGTGTTATTAAAGATCAAATAATCGTACAGTTCCTAATCCGAAGCAATTTATTGAGACTCGACTGCTCAGCCAATTTCTTGCTGAAACACACTGTTACAGTGCACGTTTAGGTGGAGACCTGGGCTTCGGAGAATAGTAAACTGGGGAACAAAACCTGGAGTCTGTTGTTTTCTGGGCAAATAGGTGTACAGATTGAGAAACCAGCTTTCCTGTCCAAACTTCTGAAGGCGATCTCACTGCCTGCCTGCTGCTGCTGGTGACAGGAGCTACTGCCTGCTGTGTGTGTGTGGTGGGGGGGGATGTGGTGGGGAGGAGACGAGGCGCGCCTGGGGAAAGGAAAATTCGTATTTGCCGAATTCGACTAGAGTAGCACGCGGCGCGACCAGTCTCCAGGGGTGGGCAGAATTTCCCAGAAACGGGCATTTTGCCCCCCAGCAGGGGACTGGTGCTGCTGCTGCTTTTGCCCCGAGTCACCCTGCCCTGACGGCTGCCCGAGGCAGAGCCACCCACGCGAATCTGACATCTGACAGACAGGCGTATCGCGCAGCAGGCGCTTCGATAAGCGCTAAAGGTAAATAGTACTTTTTGAGAAATAGTGAACTGAGGGTACATGTAATACGCATCATTCAACAAAATTCTATTCATTGCATGCATGAACACAAAACATCTGAGTCGCCTAGGCTCCGTTTTCTCAGCAAAGCAGGCTTACGACGTGCTCTTTTGCTTCTTCCTAGCTAGGAACCGCGCACGAGCCTCGCTCAGCTTCTCTTCTGCTGTCACCACCCGCTTCTCGACACCACCATCCAATGGCTCGCTGCCACCTGGCACAGCAGATCCAGCAGCACCATCCTCCCCACCACCCTCACCACCCCCGTGTCTCGCATCATCCCCTGCTCCACCTCCCCGTCTCGTCCCATCCTCATCCGCACCTTCTTGGCTACTTCCCCGCGGCAAGTCAGCATCTCTGCTCCGGCTGGGAGCAGCAGTGGCAGGCACAGCAGCGGCACTGATGGAAGTAGCATCAATGCTTCTTGCCATGGTTCTACTCCCTTCGCCTTTGCGTCCTTCTTCTCGGCCTCTTAGACTGCCGTCCTCCTCTTCCTTCCCCGCGCCCGCAGCAAGACCTGGCTCCCCATCCTCACCCCGCCTTCCCACTTCTCTCCTCGCACTCACCGATGGTGCCACATCTCCCTCCTTGCCCTGCTGGTCTGCTGGCAGCACCATCCGCTCCTTGCTCTGTGCCCAGTGCTCTCCCTGCTCGCCCTTCCCCACCTCCCTCCCCTCCTCTCTCCCCTTCTCCTTCTCCTTGTGCTTCACCCCTGCCCCTGCCTGAGCGTCTCTTGCCCGGTACAGGTTGCGATACAGGTCAGTCAGGTCAGATCGCTTGGTCACCTGAAGGGGTAAGGGGAGGAAGGGGGGGGGCGAGAGGAGAAACGCGGAATTGAGTGGAGGGATGGCTGGGTGGGAAGGATGACGTAAGGAGAATTCCAGAGCACCCGTTGATGTTTGAGTCTGACAGGTTTGATTGCTCGATCGGTCATGCAGGGGTGAAAAAGGAGAGGCAGGAGGAGGGGGGAGGGGGAAACGGCAGGAGGCAAATCGCACGACCATGACTCTATTTCAAAAGAGGCAAGATGGTGTTTGCCGTGGTCATGGTCCCAAACACCATCTCTTTTAACACCATTCCCATCGCAATGCACGTTTTACAAATGCCCAATATTCGTCTAACATCGTTGTCTGCCCCCTCAGCCTCTTTCCCCTATTCCAAAGCCAGCCACCGCTGCCCCTCCGCCTGTTTCTCCCTGTAAGCGCGCTTCACAAACCACTCCCAGGCCCTAAACCTAGACATTCTCTAAAGCCACACTCACATCGTTGGCTGCCTCCTCCGCCTCCTTCCTCTTCTCCTCCACCAGCCACCTCTGCCACTCCGCCAGTTTCTCCCGGTACACGCGCGTCACGAACCGCTCCTTGCCAACCCCAACCACAAACATGAAGACAGCTCCTAGACTCAGACACTATACATGAGACAAACAAACCCGACTCACGTCGTTGGCTGCCTCCTCCGCTTCCTTCCTCTTCTCCTCTGCCAGCCACCTCTGTCTCTCTGCCAGTTTCTCCCGGTAAGCGCGCGTCACGAACCGCTCCTTGCCCGCAAACTCCTCCTCCTCCTTCGCCCGTTCCTTCGCCAGCAGCCGCTCCTGCACTATCTCCTTCTCCTTCTCCCTCTCCTTCGTTGTCTTGAGCAGGTTGGGGATGTAGCGTGCCTGAGGGGATAGGGAAAAGGGAGGGATAAGTAAGAAGGGTATTCTTGAGGCGCGCGTCACAAACTGCTCCTTGCCCGCAAACTCCTCCTCCTCAAAGGGGTTGCCGAATTCCATGCTGGGGTTGTTAGAAACAAGACGCTGCAGCTAAAAATGCCCTGTTGGATGATTCCATATGTGATGAAGGCAAAAAAGCATGGAACAGGCATGCGTATGCGTAGGCATGTGTATGTGCACATGGGACCACATCGAACCACATGGGACCACACAGAACCACATGGGACCACATATAACCACATGGGACCACATGGGACCACATGGGACCACATGGGACCACATGGGACCACACCACCTGGCACCACCTGGGACCACATGGGACCACATCGAACCACATGGGACCACATGGGACCTCATGGGACCCCATGGGACCACATCGAACTACATCGAACCAATGGAATGCCACAGGCATCGTGTGTGTGTCATGCGCCATCGTACTCAAACACCGAGGTCCAAAGGTTCTTCAACCACATGGCAACCACATGGCAACCACATGGCAACCACATGGCAACCACATGACAACCACATGTCAACCACACAGCGCCACAAACACAGCACTGACCTGCCTTTGAACGGCCTCCTTAGCATAAACACCCCGTCACACACCTCGCCGTAGTCAAACATCAAGGGGTCCTCAACCACACAGCACCACACAGCACCTCATGGTACTCTACAGCACCGAACAGCAGCCACTCACCTGCCTCTGAACAGCCTCCCTGGCTCAGGGCGCCCATGCGGCACGGATGTTGTCATACACCCCGTCGTAGTCAAACACTTCGGTCACAAAAAGCCACACAGCACCACACACACAGCACCGCAGCAGCACCACAGACGCAGCACCGCAGCACCACACACACAGCACCGCAGCACCACACACACCGCACCGCAGCACCACACACACCGCACCGCAGCACCACACCGCACCGCATGGCACCCACCTGTCTCTGAACGGCCTCCTTGGCTTTGGACGTGCGTGCTGCATGGATGTCGTCGTACACCCCATCGTAGTCAAACACCGAGGGGTCTTCCGCCATGGCCGCCTCGTGCTGCTGCTCGGTCTGCACGGGAGGTGACAAGGAGAGGAGAGTGGAGGAAGAAAGCACATGAGGAGACGTATGCCTTACAGCTTGACCACCCTGTCACAGTCAAACACACCAAGGGGTCCTCACCGCAGTCAGCCATGGCTGCCTCCTGCTGCTGCTCCGTCTGAGAGAGCGAAGAGCCGATCAGGCAGACGTAGGGAGGTAAGGGAGGAAGGCATCAGAGGGAAGGAGGGAGACATGAGAAGGGAAGGAGGGAGACATGAGAAGGGAAGGCGGGAGACATGAGAAGGGAAGGCGGGAGACATGAGAAGGGAAGGCGGGAGACATGAGAAGGGAAGGAGGGAGACATGAGAAGGGAAGGAGGGAGACATGAGAAGGGAAGGAGGGAGACATGAGAAGGGAAGGAGGGAGACATGAGAAGGGAAGGCGGGAGACATGAGAAGGGAAGGCGGGAGACATGAGAAGGGAAGGCGGGAGACATGAGAAGGGAAGGAGGGAGACATGAGAAGGGAAGGAGGGAGACATGAGAAGGGAAGGAGGGAGACATGAGAAGGGAAGGAGGGAGACATGAGAAGGGAAGGCGGGAGACATGAGAAGGGAAGGCGGGAGACATGAGAAGGGAAGGCGGGAGACATGAGAAGGGAAGGAGGGAGACATGAGAAGGGAAGGAGGGAGACATGAGAAGGGAAGGAGGGAGACATGAGAAGGGAAGGAGGGAGACATGAGGGGGCCGTTCGCTGGCCAATTTTTCACCGGCACGGCGAGGGAAGGGGGAAGCTCATCCTACTTCCTAACCACCATGGAAGTTGGATGAGATATTAGAGCGATGAGGGGCCTTCCGCCTGGCTAACTCGCGCTGCTGCTCCGCCATGCCATCGCCGCTGTCATCGCCCACCGCCGGGTCGTGTTAGCCGTCGCCATCGCCCTGATGACGGTCATTGCCATCGGCGGAGCCATCGCCATCGCCATCGCCCGCCGGGTCGTGTGTCAGTCCTTGGTGTCAGTCCTTGGTTGCATGAGCCATACCCAGCTGACGCTCCTGACCCGAACAGCGGCAGCAGCGTCAGTCGGGTCTCATGCAACCAAGGGCTGACACATGCACGCATAACCCTTTCCCCCGGCCCCCCTTCCCGTACCTGCCTCCCGCTAGCTCCGCTTCTTACCTCCGCGCGATGCCCGCCTCCACCCCCTCCTCGTTGTCGCCGTCATCGACGCCCAACAGCAACTGCAGCTTCAAGTCTCATGCAACAAGGAGTCTCACCCGTTCTACCCCCCGCCCCCTGCTGCCCCTCCCCCCCCCCCACCCAACGAGCTCATGCTCGTCATCGTCATCACTGACCAGCGACTTAAAAGTCATCACTGCAGCTTCGGGTCGGCCCGGCCCGGCGGCACCACGTGCACACCGCAGCCATCACGCCAGCACGAGCATGCACACATCCCCCCAACCCAACCCCCCCCCCCCCCCCCCCCCCCGCACACACACACACACACACACACACACACACACACACACACATCTCTCCCCCCCCCCCAACCGTACCTCTCGCTGGCTCCGCTTCTTGATATTCTGCCGCGCGATATCCGCCTCGATCCCCTCATCGTCGTCGTCGTCGCCGAACAGCGACTGCAGCTTCGGGTCGCCGCGCACGGGCGGCAACGGCCTCGCTGCTGCGGCCCCCCGCTGGCTCTGCGGCTTGCGCCGAATCTCGAGCCCGTACTTCACGGGCTTGATGGGCTTTGCGCGGTCCATAGCGACGGGCAATGGCGTCCGGACCGGACTCTGGAGGGGCTAGACGGACTAGACGGACTAGACGGACTAGACGGGCTAGATGGGCTAGACGGAAACGCGGAAGAGGCGGTGGGGAGACGCAGCGGTAACCCGGAAGAGGCTGGTGAGAAGCAAACTTGGCGACGGGCTACCCGGACTCCGGAGGGGAGACGCGGTGTCCGGATTGTCCAAAAAGGTTGGGTTGGGTAGGCGCGCATAGAGAGGAGTGCGTGGATGGGATGGGAGGGCGGACAGGAACGCGGAGGGGTGTAATGCGCCAGCAGGTTGCTTGCCACGGAAGAGGGTGGATGGGGATTCGAGGGAGGGAGGGCAGTTGGAGCGCGGAGCGCAAGTTAGCACGAGCCCGGAAGTTAGTGCCCGACGCGGACCAGGTGGTGGGACAGGTATGCGCGGAGGGCAGAAAGGGGGTGCGAGGAAAAGCAGTACGAGACAGGGATTGAGTGCAGGGGCATAGCAATGGCATGAATTCGGATGAGTAGCGAGATAGATTCGTATTCGCTATGCTCCTCTCGATGCGCGCCGCCTTGTAGGGTGCTGCTGTGCGTCGTCCGCTCACGATAGGGGTTTTTCACGAGTTTGGCCCCCCGCAAGCGCGTCCTACATGAAGTCGCAGCCTTCCGCCGTAGAATACAGTCACGAATGCTCCTCGCTGACCACCTGCTAGATGAGCGTGACTGCGGCAGTTGGCGGAGGCACACGAGAAGGGTGGCTGTAAGGCGTGTTCAGCGTTTGTTTCTTGGAGGGGAGGTGGGCTGTCGCAGTCGCTAGGGTTTGGGTTGCGTGTCAAGGGTAGGCTAGGTTTGGACTTGTTTCGTGGCTTCGCCTGGTTGGTTGGGCTTTCGCGGAGCCACTTCGCTGGGTTACTGGTGGTTCGGTTGGCGGCTGGGTTCGTGGTTGCGAAACACCCTGCCTTGCGATATTCCTCCACCTGAATTTCGTGGCTCGTCAACCAATCCCCATCTTGTAAGCCAACTTCGAGCGTAACGTGATTGGATCACTGGTTTTTGGGTAACGCAAAGGAGGGGCTTGGTGCACACTCCCCTCCCACCCCACCCCCCAGTACAGTACAGGGATTCTGTGTGCGTCGTCGTCGCCCGCGCTGGGCGACGGGGCCAGCACAAAGGGGTGCTTCGTTGGGCGTTGGGCCACGATGTCGTGGGGAACCCACTGTCGCCGTCCAATCAATTCTCGCCAGCCCGAATTTTGGCCGTCAGATTCGTCGGGGCCCCAACCTGCCAAGCTTAGCGGTGCGAACACCCCTTTCCTCCTCGTGGGCATTCGCGTGCATTTGCGAGAATTCGCCACTCGCAAGCCAATCTCCTTCGTCCGCGTTCAACTGTTAAAGCCGTTGACCCAAAACGTGCAAGATAAATAAACATGATAGGGGCAAAAAGTTGGACACGGCAGCGCGCAGGGGTGTAGGGCAGTGGTGCGAGGTGGCGGGTGGTTTTCGTCAACGAGCGAGCGTCGCAACACCTTGCGCGACAAAAACACTCTTGATGAAACCTCATGAACCAATCAGGGCGCAAACAAACCGAGCACGCAAAACACCGCCAATATAAAAGGACAAAAGGGGAGGGTGGGACGGAAAAGGGAAAGGAGGGGCGCGCTAGGCGCGGGAAGTTGGTTGGGGGGGTGGGGTGGGGGGGAAGGAGGGAGAGAGTGGGAGTGTGGAAGGGGTGATGAACAGCGAACAATAGGAAGGCACACGTAAGGACGTGGTGCTTTTGGCGAGATTTGGGCTGTGCAACTTGACCCTGCTGCGCAACTCGTGTGGGTAACTTGACTTGGCAATTTTCGCCAAACAACTTTGGGGTGGGGTGGCGCACGCATATCAACTGTTGTAAAGAACATTTGTGTTTTTACGCCGCTCGCACGAAAAATGCAAATCGAAACGCGAAACTAGATTTGGTGCGGGGAATCTAGTAACAAACGATTCGCTATCGTTTCAGGCACTTCGCAAATTGTGATTCCTGCGCTGCGCAACTTGACCCAGTTTTTGCAGAAGTACCACGCCCTTAGGCGTGGTGGCGCTGGGCTGGGTTGCACATCAAAGGTTCCAAAATGTATGAGCGCATGTTTCAAGTTTCTTTCTGCTCAAACGCCTGGTGTATCGGGGGCAGGGGCGGAATTGGCTGGGGGTGGCGCACGCCTATCACATGTTTCCCGTCTTTTTGGCGCGCGATCTTAGTTTTCCCTCTCGTTTTGCGGAACTGGGTTACCAGAAGGGCAGTTTCAAGATTAATAAACTTCGAAAATTTTTTCTGCAATTTGGGTCAACGGCTTTAAACAGTTGGACAAACCGGATTGCGGGCTTTAATCGAGAGGCAAACTTGGCGAAAAGGACCGCATGTTCTTAAACCTGCTAATAACAGTAGAACAGTTAAGTTGTAAAGACTCGCGATACACGGAGGTATGTTCGTCGCGGACGACGGGAAGAGCAGCAGGTCGAGGCGTAAAACATGGTAACCTGTTCATAAGGGAAGAGAAAACCTGCGAAGGGGTCTTGACACTTCGACTTGAAGCACTGGGATGGGAGGGACGTCCGCTCCGCGTATGCATTAGGGCGTCCATGTTTGCGTAACGTGTAAATTTGCATTCTTGTATTTCACATTGAAAGGATCTAACATTACATGATATGCCAAGTCAACTAAATGTGCATTACATTTTTCAGAACACTTAGCTGGCCCAAATAATGAACACATAATGAGGAGGTGACAACTCCCAAACTTCATCGGAACACGTCCTTATCCTTCACGCACGCCAAGGAAAATTGATGTCACCCTCATCATCTGACACTGCAGCTGGCAGTGGTTCCTCCCTCAACCTTCCCCCCATCTGCATGCGCCACGACCGATCCACTAAGGGGGACAACTCCCTGCAGAGAGAATGAGAATGAATGAGACAATATTGGGGAGAGGACACATATGACTATAAAGTACAGGAGAGGATTTCCGCCCCATCCGCACGCGCCACGACCGATCCAGGGGACCAGCTCCCTGCAGAGAGGAGGAAAGTGAATGTGACAATGATGGAAAAAAAACTCGGACTGAAGGATTACCTGGTAAAGTGGTTGGCTGGCAACAACTACCAGCACCAGGCTGAAGCATCACATGAGAAGATGAAAAAGCGCCTCGGATCATGAACAACCTCCTAAGGTCATGCACATTCGCCTGGAGTTTGTTAAGAATCACCTAAAGCCATGACAAACCACCTGAGGCCATGAAGAATCTCCTGAGGCCATGATCACTTGGAGCCATGAAGAATAACCTGGAAGATGGCTGACAACTAGAATCACCTGAGGTCATGGCTGACAACTAGAATCACCTGAGGTCATGGCTGACAACTAGAATCACCTGAGGTCATGGCTGACAACTAGAATCACCTGAGGTCATGGCTGACAACTAGAATCACCTGAGGTCATGGCTGACAACTAGAATCACCTGAGGTCATGGCTGACAACTAGAATCACCTGAGGTCATGGCTGACAACGAGAATCACCTGAGGTCATGGCTGACAACTAGAATCACCTGAGGTCATGGCTGACAACTAGAATCACCTGAGGTCATGGCTGACAACTAGAATCACCTGAGGTCATGGCTGACAACTAGAATGGTCCGTTCCCTCTTGAGTGCTGCCAGCAGCCTCACCACGTCCGCCCTTGCCCTCCAGTCTGGAGGATGGAAGAGACGAAGAAGGCGAAGGAGAGCATGGAGCATGGAGCATGGAGCATGTAGCATGGAGCATGGAGCATGGAGCATGGAGCATGGAGCATGGAGCATGGAGCATGGAGCAAAAACGACCACTATATGGAGTTCCCAGAAGCCCACCACATTTGCTTCACGAGGAAAGGAGAAAAGACAGAGAGGGAGAGGAGAGGAAGACAGGAGAGAGAAAACACAAGGGGATGACGAGAGGAGGAGGAGCACGAAAGCATCTCAAACGCTTGAGGACTTTCGAAGCCTTTCGAGCCACTTAGAGCATGCATACCCTCAAGGCTCACACACATACCAAGTCCAGCAAGAGGTTCGTCGAGCAGCAGCAGTTCTGGCATGCGAACCTGAGACACGGGTACCGGAAGGAAGGTTGGCACGCGGTAAAGCAAGGAAGGTTGGCAAGCGGTAAAGCAAGGAAGGTTAGCAAGCGGTAAAGCAAGGAAGGTTGGCAAGCGGTAAAGCAAGGAAGGTTGGCAAGCGGTAAAGCAAGGAAGGTTGGCAAGCGGTAAAGCAAGGAAGGTTGGCAAGCGGTACAGCAAGGAAGGTTGGCAAGCGGTAAAGCAAGGAAGGTTGGCAAGCGGTAAAGCAAGGAAGGTTGGCAAGCGGTAAAGCAAGGAAGGTTGGCAAGCGGTACAGCAAGGAAGGATGGCAAGCGGTAAAGCAAGGAAGGTTGGCAAGCGGTAAAGCAAGGAAGGTTGGCAAGCGGTAAAGCAAGGAAGGTTGGCAAGCGGTAAAGCAAGGAAGGTTGGCAAGCGGTAAAGCAAGGAAGGTTGGCAAGCGGTAAAGCAAGGAAGGTTGGCAAGCGGTAAAGCAAGGAAGGTTGGCAAGCGGTAAAGCAAGGAAGGTTGGCAAGCGGTAAAGCAAGGAAGGCTGGCAAGCGGTAAAGCAAGGAAGGTTGGCAATCGGTAAAGCAAGGAAGGCTGGCAAGCGGTAAAGCAAGGAAGGTTGGCAAGCGGTACAGCAAGGAAGGTTGGCAAGCGGTACAGCAAGGAAGGTTGGCAAGCGGTAAAGCAAGGAAGGTTGGCAAGCGGTAAAGCAAGGAAGGTTGGCAAGCGGTAAAGCAAGGAAGGTTGGCAAGCGGTAAAGCAAGGAAGGTTGGCAAGCGGTAAAGCAAGGAAGGTTGGCAATCGGTAAAGCAAGGAAGGTTGGCAAGCGGTAAAGCAAGGAAGGTTGGCAAGCGGTACAGCAAGGAAGGTTGGCAAGCGGTACAGCAAGGAAGGTTGGCAAGCGGTAAAGCAAGGAAGGTTGGCAAGCGGTACAGCAAGGAAGGTTGGCAAGCGGTACAGCAAGGAAGGTTGGCAAGCGGTACAGCAAGGAAGGTTGGCAAGCGGTACAGCAAGGAAGGTTGGCAAGCGGTAAAGCAAGGAAGGTTGGCAAGCGGTAAAGCAAGGAAGGTTGGCAAGCGGTAAAGCAAGGAAGGTTGGCAAGCGGTAAAGCAAGGAAGGTTGGCAAGCGGTAAAGCAAGGAAGGTTGGCAATCGGTAAAGCAAGGAAGGTTGGCAAGCGGTAAAGCAAGGAAGGTTGGCAAGCGGTACAGCAAGGAAGGTTGGCAAGCGGTACAGCAAGGAAGGTTGGCAAGCGGTAAAGCAAGGAAGGTTGGCAAGCGGTACAGCAAGGAAGGTTGGCAAGCGGTACAGCAAGGAAGGTTGGCAAGCGGTACAGCAAGGAATAACGCAGGTGAACGAGCACGCAACGGTGTTGGCAGGGAAGGGCATTGAAGGAAGGCATTGAAGGAAGGCATTGAAGGAAGGCATTGAAGGAAGGCATTGAAGGAAGGACAAATGACATTGACACCAAGGACGAAGCAACAGTGACCCCACCCCAGAAGGACAACAGTGAAAGGACTGGCGAGTTGAATGGCGAGAGAGCCATCCACTGCTGGTTGCGAGTTGAATGGCGAGAGAGCCATCCACTGCTGGTTGCAAGTTGAGAACTAGAGCGACTAAATCGAGTGGTGACAAGAGAGAAAAGACCCACGAGCTGAATCGCGAGAGCCAGCCGCCGCTGGTTGCCACCGCTGAGTGCACGGGGATTGGTGTCCAGAGCCACTCCCATGAGACCCACCTGAAGGTCAGCGGAAGGGGTAGAGGGAAAAGAAGGTGGCGCGGGGGGCAGGGGTAAACGAGGGGGGAGGGAAGCAGGAGAAAGAGATTGGTTTGCATGAGAGCTTGTTTTGAGGCGCCTCAAAACTAGATTGTTTTGCATGAGAGCTCGCAGATTGGTATACAGGTGATGACAGCCCCATGAGACCCCCCTGGAAGGGAACGGGGTGGACCGTGCAGGGTGGGGGGAAGAGAGGAGGGAAGGAGACACAGCTTTGGGCTGAGGGATGATTTAAGATTGAGACCACGCGGATTGGTGTCCGGGGTCTGCCTCAAGAGGCCCACCTGATTGTGTTGAGTGAGTGTGAAGGGACGGGAGAAGGGGGGGGAAAGGGGAGGTGGGGAGGGAAGGAGGGGGGAGAGAGAGAGAGAGAGAGCACAGGGATTGGTGTTGAGAGTCAACCCCATGGGACCCAGTTGTTCGTAGGGAATGGGGGAAGGGGAGGGGGTGAGGGAAGGGGAGAGGGATTCGTAGGTATGCAAGCACGGGGATGTGTCATGAGTCAATCCCATGCGACCCACCTGAAGATAGGGGGGGTCTATTTTTGAGGCGCCTCAAAAATAGACCCACGTGAAGGTAAGGGTGATGGGTGTGGGGGTGAGGGACGAGGAGGACGAGACTTGCATATAGGCAACCCACCTTTCGCTCTGATGTCTTGGTGAGCAGTCACCAATCCCTATAAGCACACTGCACTAACTGCCGGTAGCATAATCCACAGCATACAGAACCAGCAATCACTGACTCGATGCACAGGACAAGCCTGGATGCTATAAGCACGACCCCTGCTATAAGCACAACCCCTGCTATAAGCACAACCACTGCTATAAGCACAACCCCTGCTATAAGCACGACACTTCACACTCACTCACTCACCGCTATAAGAGCAGCCTGGACCCTCGCTGCCAAAGCCTGTCTGAGGGGAATGTCCTCCACCCGCGTGGGCCACCCAAAGGTGAGCTCGGCCAGCACTGAGTCGGTGAGGAAGTACCTGCGGAGGAAGGGGGGGGAGGTTGGCGGTTGAATGGGGCGGGACAGCGTGGCGGGGGTGGGGATGCCAAGGGTGTGCTCTGCTAGCACTGAGTCGGTGAGGAAGCACCTGGGGGGAAGGGGGGGACACGGGGGTAGTGGGGGGGAATACAGTCTACAGAGAAGGAGATGGGCCCCTATAGAATCCTGCCGGAGGGAGTGTCCAGTTGGCCAAGTGGGAAGCCTACCCAAGTGGGCCAGCCGAAAGTGAGCTCTGGTGGTACGGTGTGTGTGAGGAAGGACCTCGGGAGGAGGGGAGGACACAGAGGTACTAGGGGGGTTATAGAGAATGGGACCAGATTTGGGCAGCTTTTGAGGCACTTTAAAGGTACTGGGGGGATTACAGAGAGTGGGACGCGATTTGGGCAGTTGAATTGAATGTGAGCTCTGCTAGTACTGTGTCTGTGAGGAGATAGGTGAAAGCGGCAGGGAGACGGAGGAGGGGGAGGGGGTGCAAGAGAGGAAGGGCGAGTGAACGCTTGTGTGTGCGGACCCGACTTTGGGCCAGCCGAATGTGGGCTCTGCTAGTACCATGTTGGTGAGGAGATCGCTGAGGAGGAGGAAGGGAAAGGGAAGATGGTGGAAGCGGGAAAAGGGAGGGGGGGGGGAGAGAGGGGGGAGGTGGGGTAGTGGAGGCGGAAAAGGGAATGGAGGGAGAGAGGGAATGGAGGGAGAGAGGGAGTAGAGGAAGAGAGGGAACAGAGGGAGAGAGGGAATAGAGGGAGGGGGGAAAGGGTGGTATGGATGGAGGGAAGGAGCGGGGGAGGAGTAAACGGACACTAGAACTTGAACGTTGAACGATCATACAACTGATAGCGGATAGCAATAGGCCCGTAAGCACCAACCGCTCTGGGAACTGGAAGACGGCTCCGACCCTCGCAGAGATGTCAGCACGTGCGGGAGTAGGTAGTTTAGTTCTGAGACTACTTAGCCTCTCAAAACTAAACTACTAACACACGGACTCCGGGCCTCTCAGAGATGTCAGTGCGGGAGAGAGAGAGAGAGAGCGATAGGAGTAGAGGGGTAGAGGGGTAAGGTGGTAGGGCACGCTGCAAGGAGCATTGCATGCCGCAAGGAGCAGTGCACGCCGCAAGCAGCATTGCACACAATCGCTAGTGGAGAACAACAAGGCAACGACAGGGGGACAAAGGCACCGAGAGGGGGACAAAGGGACGGCTCACCGCTCAGGGAACTGAAGACGGTCCCCACCCTCTCAGAGATCTCGGTGCGAGAGAGAGGGGTGGGAGGGGGAGGTGGGAGAGACATAGCAGCAGGGGCGCGCCGCACGGCAAGGAGCATCCCCCCATGGGCCGACAGGAAGGGACTGGCACTCACCGCTCGGGGAACTGAAAGACGATCCCCACCCTCTCAGAGATCTCGGTGCGAGAGAGGGGGGTGAGAGGAGAGGTGAGGGAGGAGGAGGAAGCGGAGAGGGAGGGAGGAGAGGCGGTGGGCATAGCGATGGTGCCGCTGGTTGCAGTGGTGAGGCCTGAGAGGAGCTGAAAGTGAGGGGAAGGGAGGGATGGTGAGGGGAAGGGAGGGAGGGCACAAAGGGGAGAGAGGGGACGGCGACGAAGCCGAGGGAATTGCGACGTTAAGACGTTAAGATGGAGCCGAGGGAATTGCGACGTTAAGACGTTAAGATGGAGCCGAGGGAATTGCGACATTAAGACGTTAAGATGGAGCCGAGGGAATTGCGACGTTAAGACGTTAAGATGGAGCCGCTGGTTGCAGTGGTGAGGCGTGAGAGGAGCTGAAAGTGAGGGGAAGGGAGGGATGGCACAAAGGGGAGAGAGAGGACGTTTTTGAGTCGACTCAGCAGAGGGAATAAGGCGAGCCAGAGAGGAGGGAGAGGGCGGGAGATAAGGATGCTGCTGAGGGGGAGGTGGGAGAGACATAGCGGCAGCGAGGAGAGGGCGGGGAATAAGGATGCTGCTGATGAGACGGACAACAACAGCAAGTCCATGCCTTTGAGCACAGCTGTCATGTGCCAAAGGAAGTGGAGGAGACCGACAAGAGGAGGTGGGAGAGGAGGGGGGAAGGGGGGGGGTAAAGGCAGCGGGGTGGGAAAGGGAGGCGTGAGGGGAAAGAAGAATGAGCTTTGCTTTGCTTTGCTTTGTTTTGCTTTGCTTTGCTTTGCATCTGGCACCACAAGAAAGCCAGGTGGCTAGGCGAAGTGAAACAATGACAGGCACACCCGAAGTGAAACAATGACAGGCACGCCGCACACCCGTGCACATAAGCCTGCACACACGTATGCATGAAACGTGCACGCACACATGCACTTGCACATCCACAATGAGCATCCAGATGGACATGCGCATGTGCATGCACATTCACATGCACATCAACATACACATCAACATGCACATCGACATGCACATCAACATGCACATCAACATGCACATCAACATGCACATCAACATGCACATCAACATGCACATCAACATGCACATAAACATGCACATCCATATGGACATGCACATGCACACACACACGCACATGCATGAAACGTGCGCAGACACATGCACATCCACATGGGCATCCATATGCACATGCACACACACACGCACATGCATGAGCAGAGGCGCAGTACCTGCAGGAGTATTTTGAGTCGTACCACAGACTCAAAATACACCTGAGCAGAGGCGCAGTACCTGCAGGAGTATTTTGAGTCGTACCACAGACTCAAAATACACCTGAGCAGAGGCGCAGTACCTGCAGGAGTATTTTGAGTCGTACCACAGACTCAAAATACACCTGAGCAGAGGCGCAGTACCTGCAGGAGAGTGGTCTTGCCCCCGCCACTGCGGCCGAAGATCAGCCCCAAGCTGCCGCGCACAGAGAGAAAGCGAAACGGGGTGGGTACGAGAGGGCACGAAAACGGCATGGCGACCGACAGAGTGAGTGCTTGTATAAAGTGTAGGTGAGGAAGTACGGGAGAGGGAGCAAGAGGGGAGCAAGAAGGGAGCAAGAAGCGATCAAGAGAGGAAGGTTCCTCACCTGTTGAGGGGAAGCGACAGCGAGGCGTCGTTCAGCAGCCAGCTGTTGGACCCGTGCGGCTGGTAGCTCACCAACACCACCAACCCCAACCCACCCCTGTTCACCCCTCCAACCCCCCTCCAATGAGACAGAGACAGAAAGCCCACCTCACCGGTTGCGAGGCAGCGACAGCCAGACGTCGTTGGGTCCGTCACTAGCTGTCAGCTCTCTCCGTGCACCGCCAACAGCCCCCCCTCAAACAGTGAGCGAGAAACATGAAGAGTATCTCACCTGTTCTTGGGAAGAGAGAGCGAGACGTCGTTCAGCAGCCAGCTGTCGGACCCGTGCGGCTGGTAGCTCACTCCGCGCACCTCCAGCACCAGCTCCTCCCCGCCTCTCCCCGCCGTTCCCCCCTCCGCCACCCTCCCAGCTACCGCGCCCCGCTGCCATTCTCCCCCCACGCCTCGTTCTCCCCCGCCCTTCCGCGCTGCTCCCCCTCCGCCTCCCCAGCCTCGAGCCCGAGAAGTGGCGGAACCCGCGGCCCCGCATCGGACGGCCAAGCGCGCTCTATCTTGGCGCCTCGAGATGCTTTTAAGTGGGAGATGGAACGGCCCAGATTCTCCGGACGACAGGCAGCCGAATGAAGAAATTTCACATGGCTTTTTGAAAAACGCCGGATGAGACGCGGCGGAAAAGGACGAACAATGCGAGTCGGTGACCGGCGGTGACGCGGGGACTGATGACGAAGGAAAGACACGTGCATTCGCGATATGCGACGCTGCGATACAGGATGAAGCGACTGGTTGTGGGGGGGGAGGCGAAAACCGATGGATTGCGACGGACGATGGCGCTGGCGACATCGAAAGGCATGCGAAGCTGCGTGGCATGGTCGCCGCTGTCGCAGGGACGGCCGTCGCAGGCTTGTTCGAGTCGCCTCTACTTGTCGCTGTCGCAGGCTTTACAGCGGAGAAAACGCTACTAGGAGCTACTATCTCCGAATTCTATCCTAAGAGGCTCGCCAGGATGACACAATCAGCTGGAATCATGATTCATGACAAAAAAAAAGTGAGTGGCGATAATATCTCAATATTGGCTGATTCGGTTGCTGACAAAATTGATTGGAGAAGTACACTGGAAGCACGCGTCACATATTTCTAAAGCCCCCGAACCCAAAAGGGTTGGATTTTTCCACCCCTGAACAAAAGAATATTCGCGAAGCGGGTGAGGCGGAAGCCAAGCAGCTCCACCTGCGGAATCTTGTATTTTACGGAAGGCCACTCACTGCTGAGTACAGTGGCGTGGAAGGCAGCTGTAGTATAGGAGGACTGATAACCAGTCTCTGCAGTTGCTCGATGGCGACTGAGAGAGTGGGCTAGTGCGTGTGATTATAACCGAGTTTTGAGACGGCTAAAAACCCGATTACTATCTCAAGGAGGACTGGTAACTCGTTGCTCGATGGCTACTGCGAGAGTGGGCGCGTGCGAAATTGCTACCGATCGCAGCGAGGCGAATGCTGACGAAGCTGACGGAGCCCTGCCATTGCCTGAGGTCCACGTGGCAGCTGAGGGTGATTCATTTCCTTCGAAAACATCAGATCGTGATGATAACGGGGGCTCAGGCGAGAGTGACTCAGTGGGGGGCGAGGGAAGGGAGGTTGGGGTAACGGCAGAGGGAGGGAGTGAGAGGACGGAGGAGGGAGGAACGGCAATGGGGGGAAGTGAGAGGACAGAGGAGGGGCGAACCCCGGCATTGGACGAGCTGAGGGCGCGCGTGGGCCGTCGGATGGCGAAGAAGATCAAGAAGAATGTGGCGGCGGGGAAGGGCACGATGAAGGATTACTACGACGTGTACGGCCCGGAGGTAGGGAGGATATGGGCTACGAGTCTAGAGGGCGGGGGGTAAGACCATGGGAAGGTGGTGGTGGCGGGGAAGGGGGAAGGGGAGAATGGGCGCCCAAGGACTACTACGAAGTGTACGGGCCGCAGGTAGGGAAGTCAAGTAATCTTGTCATTCAGAGGGAAGGGCTAAGAGGAAGGAGGTTTGCGACATAGTGTTGCCCTCCCCCTCCTCCCTGCCCCCCTCCGCGCCCCCCTCTGCGCCCTTCCCCCCCCCCCCTCCCCCCCTTTTACCTCTTCCCTGTCAAAATCCCCAGCTGGTCTCGTTCACTCTCTGCGCCTTAAAACCGCGCCTCACTTGCTCAGAATGCCCACTAGAGTTTTCTTCTTTGCCGAGGAAGATTTTGCAGGGTGTTTTTGAGAATTCTCAAAAACACCCTGCATGTTCAGAATGCCCACTAGAGTGTTCTTCTTTGCCGAGGAAGCTGCCCAGCCCAGGCCCGAAGTTGCGTCCCCATCCCCCATCCGTAGGCGAGGGCGGAGGTGGTGCTTCGCCCGATTGCGTCCAGGGGTCCGGTCTTTTAGTCGACTCAAATGCAGCCCCCGTACCCCGGTGCGTCCTCACCTCCCATCCATAGGCGAGGGCGGAGGTGGTGCTTCGCCCCCTTGCTTCCAGGGGCCAGGACAAGCAGCCCAAGCCACTTAGCTTCATTGTGAGTGCTTCTTATCAAAACGGTTTATGGGGTTCAGGGCTGTTTCAGGGCTCCTGGGTTTCAGGGCTCGAGGGTCTAGGGTTTATGGGGTGCGAGATTGCTGCCAGGGGCCCAGGCGAAACAGGTCAAGCCTCTGAGTGGATGCACGGTCCCAGGGAATGTCTTTTTTCGTCTGCTTTTGTTTTTTTGCCTCAAAGCCAGACAATGAGATGAAGCGGTCAGGCCGCAGAGTGCATGCTGAGCTGGTTTTTGAGAATTCTCAAGTCCCAGTGAGTGTCTCATCTCAGCCCGACTACCTTATGCCTCATCATCGTATGTTGTGATGTGCGATGTGTGATGTGGGATGTGGGATGTGTGATGTGCGATGTGTGATGTGTGATGTGCGATGTGTGATGTGTAATGTGTGATGTGGGATGTGCGATGTGCGATGTGCGATGTGCGATGTGCGATGTGTGATGTGCGATGTGTGATGTGCGATGTGCGATGTGTGATGTGCGATGTGTGATGTGTAATGTGTGATGTGGGATGTGCGATGTGCGATGTGTGATGTGTGATGTGTGATGTGCGATGTGAGATGTGGGATGTGGGATGTGCGATGTGTGATGTGCGATGTGTGATGTGTGATGTGCGATGTGCGATGTGCGATGTGTGATGTGCGATGTGCGACGTGTGATGTGCGATGTGTGATGTGCGATGTGTGATGTGCGATGTGCGATGTGTGATGTGCGATGCGTGATGTGCGATGTGTGATGTGCGATGTGTGATGTGTGATGTGCAATGTGTGATGTGGGATCTGCGATGTGTGATGTGTGATGTGTGATGTGCGATGTGCGATGTGCGATGTGTGATGTGTGATGTGTGATGTGCGATGTGTGATGTGTGATGTGCGATGTGCGATGTGTGATGTGCGATGTGTGATGTGTGATGTGCGATGTGCGATGTGTGATGTGCCATGTGTGATGTGTGATGTGTGATGTGTGATGTGCGATGTGCGATGTGTGGTGTGTGATGCACGATGCGTGATGTGCGATGTGCGATGTGCGATGTGTGATGTGCGATGCGTGATGTGCGATGTGTGATGTGCGATGTGTGATGTGTGATGTGCAATGTGTGATGTGCGATGTGGGATGTGCGATGTGGGATCTGCGATGTGTGATGTGTGATGTGTGATGTGCGATGTGCGATGTGCGATGTGCGATGTGTGATGTGTGATGTGTGATGTGCGATGTGTGATGTGTGATGTGCGATGTGCGATGTGTGATGTGCGATGTGTGATGTGTGATGTGCGATGTGCGATGTGTGATGTGCCATGTGTGATGTGTGATGTGTGATGTGTGATGTGTGATGTGCGATGTGCGATGTGTGGTGTGTGATGCACGATGCGTGATGTGCGATGTGCGATGTGCGATGTGCGATGTGTGATGTGCGATGTGTGGTGTGTGATGTGTGACGTGTGATGTGTGGCGTGTGATGTGTGATGTGCGATGTGCAATGTGCGATGTGTGATGTGTGATGTGCGATGTGTGATGTGTGATGTGATGTGTGTGCAGGATGTGCAGGATTTGATTCTGTGGGTGCTCACAGGAGAAGTAAACCCCCAGTGGGTCTTTCTTAAGGTGGGTGACTGCACAACTCTCGTCCTTCTCCTCACAAGTCCTGTCTTGTGTCCCGAACCGAAAACCCTTCCTCACAAGTCCTGTCTTGTCCCCGAACCGAACCCCTTCATCTGACGAAGTCGATGGTGTTGAGTACCTCCCTTCCTGACATTGCTGTATACTTGCACTCCCCTCCACGTGGAAAGTGCCAAGCTGCCAATCTCTCTTTGCTCCAGCCCCTCTTCCATCAATATGCCCACTCAAAGTAGAACACCCCCCTGGTATCACAGCTGCTGCAGCTGCTGCTGCTTCCGCTGCTGCTGCTGCTGCTGCATGTGACCAGTCCAATCAGGTCAGAAGCACCTCTCTCTGATCCTCTCGTATCCCATCGCGCTCGTCCCACATCTTTCACCCCCCCTTCCATCAGAACAAGCCCCTCGTGTCAAGGGTGGTGCTGCTGGTCGTGCCGGGAATCGACAGTCATACCTTCCACTCTCGAAAAGACCTCTTCCCGAACCTGCACCGCTGCTTTGGTGGCAAGTCTCTGCCATTGAAAGCCGTTAGGTAAGGAATAGCCTTTACCCTTCAGTCCCTCTCCTCGCCCCCACCCCGGCCCCCCCTTTTCCGCCCCCGCTCCCCTCTTTCCCTCTTCTCTTCCTCATTCACATCCTCATTCGCATCACCAGCATCCAGCTCATCCCATCAGTGTCCCTCCCTCCCTCCCACCGATGTTCTTCCCTCCCTCCCACCGATGTTCTTCCCTCCCTCCCACCGATGTTCTTCCCTCCCTCCCACCGATGTTCTTCCCTCCCTCCCACCGATGTTCTTCCCTCCCTCCCACCGATGTTCTTCCCTCCCTCCCACCGATGTTCTTCCCTCCCTCCCACCGATGTTCTTCCCTCCCTCCGGTCCACCCTCTCTCACTTCGTGTTCAACCATCCCCCGTTCCCCATCAGCCTAGACTTGAGCATTTTACCCGGTCGGGTCGCGGGTACCCGACCCGACCCGACATTTTGGCCGGGTCGGGTAATAGGATTTTGACGAATTACCCGGCCGGGTCGGGTCGGGTACTCGGGCCGGGTAATGCATACCCGTTACCCGAGAATTACCCGAAATGTCGGGTAATTTATTACCCGTCGGGTCGCGGGTACCCGACCCGACTTTGGGTTTGTTACTCTGGGTTTGCTGAATTCTACAGCCACCTGGGGGTACCCGGGTAATATTACCCGACTTCAATTAAATGCGGGTCGGGTACACCCGACCCGACAGACGGGTACCCAATTACCCGGTATTAAAATGTCGGGTCGGGTAACAGACCTCCAAACATTACCCGGAAATTACCCGACCCGACCCGACCCTGACCCGATTGCGGGTAGGGCAAAACCGGGTCGGGTCGGGTAATTACCCGGTTTTGCTCATGTCTACATCAGCCTATCTGATACATCATACACTGAAGGCCATGTTCATGGCCCACTGCTTCTTCAAACCTCTCAAGCAGCACTCCTACAGTCCCACCCCGATCCCTAAGGGCGTGCCCAGCGCGCATGGTTAATGTACACGGATCATGGCTCAGTAGGTTACATCGCGGTCGGGAGCGGTTTTCGCGCTTCACCACGTTGGACCACCGAGCACCACATTGAACCGTATAAAGTGAATTATAAACATACGCACTGGACACGCCCTAAACCTTCCCCCCACACCATACCGCACCCCCCACCCTTCAACCCCCAGCACCACGTCCCTCAACCCCCCATGAGCCCATCAGCCACAGTATCGGATCCACTGAACGCCATGTTCTCACACCATCCCATCCTCCCCATCCTCCCATCCTCCCATCCTCCCATCCTCCCATCCTCCCATCCTCCTATCTTTTCAACCTTCCATCCTTGCATCCTCCCATCTTCTGTCCTGCATACTCCCACTCCCCTGTCAGCCCATCAGCCACCGTATCTGATACACTGAAGGCCCTGTTCTCCCGGCCGATTTCTGCTCCCAAGGTACTGCTCATGGCACGTTTACTGTTCATTCCCCCAACGACTGCTTATGTGCATTCTTGGCCAAACCACTGTTCATGCCCCCCTCCCCTCCCCCCTCCCCCCTCCCCGTCGAAAGCATGTGCCATAGTTGAGTTTTGTTGCCTGACAAGCCATAGTCTAGCCTCTTCTTGGGCAGGGACTAAACCCTGAATCTCTTTCTTTGCCGACCACCATTTATCGCTTTGCCGCCCCCAGAAATGCGCCAGCTCATCGCCTGCCACGTCAGCAAGCACGAAGGGCAAGGCTGCAGCGGGTGTGAAATTAGGCGGGAGCGATAAAGCCCGGCAGCAGGGAACAAGGAGGGAGCAAAAGGAAGGGGAAGGGAAACGGAAGAATGAGGAAGAGGAGGAAGAGATTGGGGAGGAGGAAAAGGAGGAGGGTGAGGTAGCTGAGTGTGAGAGTGAGGGAGGAGGAGGAGAAGGGGAAGAAGGGGAGGTGGGGATGGAGAAGAAGGGCCAGGAAGGTAGAGACAGGAGGGAGGGCGGGAGGAAGAGAAAGGCAGAGGCGTTGGGAGAGGGGGGAGCAGGAGAGGGGATCGAAGGGGATGGGGATGGTAGAAAGAGCAAGGCAATGAAGATAAGCAGGGAGGGGGAGAAGGGATTATGTGCTGAAGAGGACACCAGACACACAGTGGCGCCAGTGCTCCCCTCCTCCTCACTCCCCCTCTCCTCCACCTTCTCCCCCTCCTCCCCTTCCTCCTCAATCCCCTTCAAGTCCAAGCCCCCCCTTCTTCCGGAGCGCTACCTGTTGACGTGGCGCCAGCTGAAAGAGAACAATTTTCCCCTGCCCGTGACAGAGGGCAAGAGGGAACAAGAGGAGAATGCTGGGAAAGATGGGCAAGCTCACGCTCACGCCAAGGGTGGTGCATCAATGGGTGGTGGCGTTTCACTCACTGACGGCTCTGCTGTTCCTCCTCCAGGTCAGCTTCTTCTCCCGCCAGGTCAGCTTCTTCTTATCCCGCCAGGTCAGCATCTTATCCCGCCAGGTCAGATTCCAAACCCAGTATGTCATTCAGCCCTCTAACGTTTGTTACCTTAAGGCATCTCTGCATGAGTAGCATTGAGTTGAGTAAGGCACCGCATTGGACCTTGGTTCCAGTATGCTTCTGAGGCGCCGTGGCTGAGGCGCCGTGGCTGAGGCGCCGTAGCTGACAGACACTTCATGCAACGAATATTGCCTGCCTGCCTGCCTTCCTGCCTTCCTACGTCGCAATGCCTGCCTTCTGAGGCACCTAAAAAGCGCTGCAAAACTCGAATTTTCAACTGCATGGCGTTTCAAGGTTTCAAGGAAGTTTGTATTGTGCTGCGTGTTTCCCTGTGCATGCATTTGCATTGCAGGATATGTGATGACGCGTCCAAAAGGCAGGCTGAAGAGGGGGAAGGAGGCAGGGAAGAAAGCCAAGGAGGGGCAATCGGAGTACCATCGCATGGTGGCTGTTGACTGCGAGATGGTGAGTGGCATCAGGGAATGCGGGTTCTTAGCCAGGGAGGCAGGTAGAAGTCGGGTATCACATGGCAAAAGGCGGCGGCGGCGGCGGCATCAGCAGCAGCAGCGGTAGCGGCAGCAGCAGCGGCAGCAGGAGCGGCGGCAGCAGCAGCACGTGAGAGAGGAGCTACAAGTCGTACCTCCAAGTAACTGCTCCCTGTTTTCTAAGTCCCAGGGATCAGTTGTCATGGAAGTCCCACTGATCCACAAGTCGTACCTCCAAGTAACTGCTCCCTGTTTTCTCATGCTCCGCCGCTTGCTCTCCTCCGCTTCACCGTTTCCTTTCCCTGGTAGTGCAACACCCAAAGCGGTCTGGCTGGAGCTCACCCGACTTACTGTGCTGCTGGATGCCAGTTCTTTCCTCCTCCTTTGCCTTCCCTCCTCTCTTCTCTCCCCGTTCTCCCTCCTCCTGCCAGTGCAATTCCCATGGGATTCTGGAAGACACCCGACTCACCCTGCTGAGTGCCACATCTGTCCTCCTCCTTTTCCTTTCCCCCATTCCCCTCACTCCGCCTCCCCTCCTTTTCCTTCCCTCCTCTCCGCTCTCCCCGTTCTCCCTCCTCTTCCTGCCAGTGCAATACTCACAGGGGTCTGGAACTCACCCGACTCACCCTGCTGGACGCTCATGGCAAGGTATGAAACGGTGAGCTCAGGTAGAGACAGGTGTGATATGGCCAGGTAAGGTAAGGACAGATATGGTTATGTTTGATATGGGCAGTTATGTGTCTGCGTCCATAGGCTTTGGTTGGAATTTTGAGTTTATTGGTGGAGTAGTGGTCCAAAGTTTTTGTGCGTTTTGCAAACTTTGGAGAGAGCAATCCCAGTTTCGTTGAGCATAGTGGTGCTGGCTCGAGCCAATAAAATCCTCAAATTTGCTTGCTTGCATCCTGGATTGAGATTCATCAAACAGTAGTGGTGCTGGCTTGATAACCCATCGTCACCTTTCCACCACCTCCCATCCCAAACCTGATAACACAGCACACTTCCATCTCCTGCCTCTTTCCTGAGTACACTCCGTCCTCCCTGAGGAGTCTATTTTTGAGGCGCCTCAAAAATAGTTTCCTGATTACCTTCCGTCCTCCCTGTGGCAGGTTTTGCTGGATGAGCTCGTGAAACCCGACAACCCGATCACTAACTACAACACGCAGTGAGTCGCTGCCGTCAGGTCAACGCTGGCTTTTGAGTCGACTCAAAAGTCTCCTCGTTATTTGGTGAACACGGACAGTTGTTTGAATGCACCTCTAATATAGTCGTGAGCCTAGGGTTGGTTTCTGCTTTTTCTCTAGTCTCTCCTCGCATGTGGTTCTTGTAGTACCCCTCCCTCCCCTCCCTCTGCATGGGGCTTTGCTTGGGCCCTTTTAAGTCGACTCAAAAATCACCTTCCCTGTGCATGAGGCTTTACGTGGGCCCTCCTTGTAAATGCTGTCCAATGCTGTCCCTTCCCTCACGTATCCTTTCTTTCTTTTGCGCATGGGGTGTTACTTGGCAGATTCTCCGGCATAACTCCCCAAATGCTGGCCAATGTCACTACTACTCTGCAACAAGCACAGGTGGGATGGGGCAGGGGGGATGGGGCAGGGGGGATGGGGCCGGGGGGATGGGGCAGGGGGGATGGGGCAGGGGGAATGGGGCAGGGGGGATGGGGCAGGGGGAATGGGGCAGGGGGGATGGGGCAGGGGGGATGGTGCAGGGGGAATGGGGCAGGGGGGATGGGGCAGGGGGGATGGGGCAGGGGGAATGGGGCAGGGGGGATGGGGCAGGGGGGATGGTGCAGGGCGGATGGGGCAGGGGGGATGGGGCAGGGGGGATGGGGCAGGGGGGGGGATGGGGCAGGGGGGGGGATGGGGCAGGGAGGATGGGGCAGGGGGGATGGGGCAGGGGGGATGGGGCAGGGGGAATGGGGCAGGGGGGATGGGGCAGGGGGGATGGGGCAGGGGGGATGGGGCAGTGGGGATGGGGCAGGGGGGATGGGGCAGGGGGGATGGGACAGGGAGGATGGATGGGGCAGGGGGGATGGCACATTCCCGCTTCCCCTTCGCCCCCCTCTCTCAGCCCTCTTTCGTACCCTCCTTTTCACTTCCTTACTCTTCCCTTCCCCGTCTCCGCCTCCCCTTCCTCTGTCCCCATACCTTTCATTCCGCACTGCTCACTCTTCTCCCTCTCTACCCTGCCCTGGCACCGATTAGCCAAGAGGACAGTTTCTCGAAACAGTGTGAGAGAGCAGAAAGGATCCTGGTCGGTCGGGCAGTCAGCAATTGAATTGAATGTCACACCATGCCGAGCGGAAACGATCCTGAGCGCCCACCAATGCAACACCCCCCTCCCGTCCCCCTTTCCCACCAACCTTCCCCCTATCCCCCCACTCCCCTCCCCTTCCCTTCCCCCCCCCCCCCCCCCCCCCCCCACCCCCCCAACCCCACATCTCCCTCCCCTGTCTCCTGGTCTCCTCTTCCCCCCTACATGAGGAGTCTATTTTTGAGGCGCCTCAAAAATAGACTCTTCCCCCCTACAGGAGCACTGTCTGAACGTAGTGAGTGCCGAAACGATCCTGGTCGGCCATTCAGCAAAAAGCGATCTGCATGCGATCCGGGCCGTTCATCTGCACGTGATCGACACGTCGCTGCTCTTCCCCCACCCCCGCGGCCCCCCTTTCAAGTGCGCCCGACGCTTCCTTGCTGCTGACTACCTGGGGCTGGGCGGACCATTCGAGACAAAGAGGGGGTGGGGAGGTACAGACGGGGAGGTACAGATGGGGAGGATGGAAAGAAGGAACCTCATTTATGTGTGTCATTATGTCACACCACCCTCTCCCCCCTCCCCCCGACAGGAGCACTTTCTGAATATCGTGAGCGCCGAGACGATCCTGGTCGGCCATTCGGCAGAGAGCGATTTGCACGCAATCCGGGCCGTTCATCTGCGTGTGATCGACACGTCGCTGCTCTTCCCCCACCCGCGCGGCCCCCCTTTCAAGTGCGCCCTGCGCTTCCTTGCTGCTGACTACCTAGGGCGGACCATTCAGGCGGGATGGTGGGGGGGAACCGGAGGAGGAGGGAGGGGAGGGGCGGAAGGGAGAGGAGGGAGGGGAAGGAGGGGGGGGATGAGAGGGGGGTGGTCGTTTCACAGGGGGAGGGGGAACGGTGTAGGTAGAGGGGATTTTACTGCTGCTAGTGGTGCTGCTAATGTCGGTGCTGCTAATGGTGGTGCTGCTGCTGCTGCCGATGGTGTGGCTGTTGGTTCTATGGTGGGAAATGCTGCTGGTGCTCCTGCTGGTTACCGCAGGGGTAACACCTGGTGCCGTAACGGCAGTGACTTGCAAAACGCTGCAGCACCTGCAACAACAAGAGCACCACAGGCAGCGCCAGCAGCAGCAGCAGCGGCAGCAGCAAGTGAGGCAGTTGGAGCAGATGGAGCAGGAGCACAGGCAGCACAGGCAGCACAGGCAGCAGTAACAGCAGTGGCAGCATCCGAAGCAGACAGTGTGGGGCATGACAGCATCGAGGATGCCAGGGCTGCCCTTGACCTCGCCCTGCTGAAGATACAACATGGTAACATGGTAACATTGTATCCTGGTCATGGTGACATGACATGGTGACACGATGACATGGTAACATGGTAACACCCGGGGGGCGGTTGCACGACATATGAGAGCACAGTCAAGTTGATACTTTGGCAAGTTATCGTCTTCAATTCCTTATTGGCAACGCCCCCCTCCCCTAGCCATCATCACAACCCCGCTCTCTCAACAAACCCTGCATTACAGAAAAAAACAACGCAAAACAATGCAACACGAAAGAACACGTTAAAGAAGTGCGGTTTTGAGATGTCTCAAACTCAAGACCCCGCATCACGCGCCGCAGCAACAGACTCTCCTCTTCTTTCCCCCGTTTCTCCCCTCTCTTCCTTCCCCTCCTACTACCCCACCCCCACAGGCCCTCACTTCAGCCTGCCCCGGGGTTCCTTGAAGCGTCCCCTCAATAAAATCTTAACCCGCCTCTCCATGTCTGGCAAGGCACACTCGTGCTCCCCACATCCTCCCACTGCCTCACCACATCCTATCCTCTCATCCTCTGCTCTCCCCGTCTGCCCCCCGACGCTCCTCCATGCTTCTCGTTGAGAAGCTTCTCATCCTGCCTGCACACGGGTGCTCAGTCAGGATGAACATCAGCACTGGCGCACACTGGTGCTCCCCACCCGCGCACACTGGTGCTCCCCACCGGCGCACACTGGTGCTCCCCACCGGCGCACACTGGTGCTCCCCACCGGCGCACACTGGTGCTCCCCACCGGCGCACACTGGTGCTCCCCACCGGCGCACACTGGTGCTCCCCACCGGCGTACACTGGTGCTCCCCACCGGTGCACACTGGTGCTCCCCACCGGCGCACACTGGTGCTCCCCACCGGCGCACACTGGTGCTCCCCACACTGCCTCACCACATCGCATTCCCCTCACCTCTCTGCTCTCTCCCTCCTTCTACAGGCCCTCACTTCGGTCTGCCCCGGCGCTCCTTCGGTCTGCACACCGGCGCTCCTTCGGTCTGCACACTGGTGCTCCTTCGGTCTGCACACTGGTGCTCCCCACCCACCCACATCCTCCCATGCCTCACCACATTATATTCCCCTCATCCTCTACTCTCCCTCCTTCTACAGGCCCTCACTTTGGTCTGCCCCGGCGCTCCTCCAAGCTTCCCGTCGAGAACATTCTCACCCGCCTCTCCACGTCCGGGCGGCACTGCACAGTGGTGCTGCACTCAGAACGTGCCAAAGCGGACCTGTTTCTGGGCGGCAACGCGAATTCCACCTCAGAGATACTGTGCCTGAAGCACGGGGATCTGGGCAAGGTCGCCAGCAGAGAGGTGAGAGGAGGGATTCTGAGGTGTTCTTAGGCGCCTCTGACTTCAATGCGAATGCCACCTCGGAGATACTGTGCCTGAAGTACGGGGATCTGGGCAAGGTCGCCAGCAGAGAGGTGGGCGATGGTTTAAGGTACGTCGAGGTGGTCTGAGGCGTTTCAAGGCACAACCTGAAGCACACCCCCACTGCCACAGCAGAGATGCTGTGCGTCAAGTCTGGGGATCTGGGCAAGGTCGCCAGCAGAGACGTGGGGGGGTGAGGAATGGTGGATGGAGGGGGTTGGGGCGGGGGGCAGAAGAATGGTGTGCTTGGAGGTGATTTAAAGGAACCTAAGTATGGAATGGAATGCTGTTGTTGTGTAACGAATGGTGTGGGTGAGTGTAGTTTTGTTCTTCCGCCCCGTCCCGCCTCTTGCCTCCTCTTTCCTCCTCGTCCTCCTCTTCCCTCCTCTTTCCTCCTCTTCCCTCCTCTTCCCTCCTCTTCCCTCCTCTTCCCTCCTCTTCCCTCCTCTTCCCTCCTCTTCCCTCCTCTTCCCTCCTCTTCCCTCCTCTTCCCTCCTCTTCCTCCCTCTTCACTCTTCCTCCTCTTTCTCCTT